GCAGACGCGCTGGCACGCTCTGCCGTGGGTAGATACAAGGCTGCTTAAAACGACCATGGCGCAGAGGGTGAGCATCATAGCCGCACCCGCTGTTAGGGGAAGGACGAGCCAACCAAGGCACCATCGAGTCGTCCGAGTCGCTGACCATCTCCCGCCCGCCGCCGCTCGCCGCCTGAGAAGCCGTGGGAGCGATGGGTCTGCTGCTGTCTCGAGTGCTGGAGGCGCTGGACGGCCTGGTGCACAGCCGCGGGCCGGTCCGTATCCTGCTGCTCGGCCTGGACGCGGCCGGCAAGACCACCATCCTGCACCGGCTCAAGCTGGGCGAGGTCGTCACCACCATCCCCACCATCGGCTTCAACGTCGAGACCATCGAGTACCGAAACATCAGCTTCACCGTCTGGGACGTCGGCGGCCAGTCGATCCTGCGTCCGCTCTGGCACCATTACTTCAGCAACGCCAAGGGCCTCATCTACGTCGTGGACTCGATGGACCGCGCGCGCGTCCAGCTGGCCGCCGAGGAGCTCCGCGACATGCTGCAGCATGACGACCTGCAGGTGAGTGGCGAGTGGGGCGCGCCGCTGCTTCAGCCAGGCGCCTGATGCCTCTTCAATCGTGGTGGTTTGGAAGGGTAAATCCAAAGGGCGCTGTGTAATTGCCGCCAAATGGCGGTCACGTTGAAGCAGCGCATGGATTCAGTTTTCCGCGATGCTTCTAGCCGTTTTGCGATCGCAAATGTCCGGATGAACCATCACAGTAGAGCCGCGATCAGCCTGCATTATACGAACCACTCGAATGAATCGCGCCCGTCCCACCTCGTCCAACCCCCTCCCCCTTTGACACTGCAGTTTGTCTGCAATACGTTGGTGCATTCCATTCCAGCGCGTGCCCGTGGTCGTCCTGGCCAACAAGCAGGACATGCCCGGGGTCATGACCCCGAGCGAGGTCACCGAGCGACTGGGCGTCCGCAAACTGACCCAGCAGCCGTGGCACGTGCAGGCCACCTCGGCAACGCAGGGAGAGGGCCTGTATGAAGCCCTCGACTGGCTGTCCAGCGAGATCCAGAGACGCTAGGCGCCCCTCGCCGCCAACACTGCCACACATCGTGGAACTGTTGAAGCCGTGCTACAAATTGTTGGTTTGTATCGACGTGTGCAACATCTGCATTGATCAGGGGCAATCCCCGGCTCTCAACACCCGTCGGGCACGTGTCCTGCGGCGATGGTTGGACGCCAGACCTGGCCATCTGCCGGGCTACGCGTTAACGGGCGCCGGCGGTCGGCACGACCCACAAGCGCGCGTTGTGACTACGCCGAGCGAACCCTGCTGACGTGTTAGATGCTCAAATTAAGTATACAACAAAAATATTATCCACTTCGCCGACCAGCGCGAGGTCAAACTGGCTATTAGTTATTGTTGCTTTGGCCTGTATCGCGTCCTACCACCTACTGGTTCTCGAAGCAACCAACTTCCGAGCCTTTCTGACGCATCTGTGCTTGTTGGGGATGTGGTGAATGACACCAACCATCGATTTCACTAGCGCTTCGCTAGCGCTAGCTCGTCATCTCAGTCGGAACGATACGACATATGGACGAAGCACCACACACGAATCCAAACTGATGACACAGTACAATGTATGTATTACAAGGAACTCGACGCGATCGCCACAAAAACCGCATGTAACTTAACTGCGCGACGAAAGCGCGATAGGCTTTCGCAGCACACGATCACCATCAACTGGTGCCTTACGTGTATACCACGTTTGAAGCTCATGCATTTCAAGATGCGCTAATGACTAAAAGGCCGCACATCTAAAAGCCGCACAGGTACACCTGGCATGAGACAAAAATCCAGGGTCTTGGCTCTAATGACGGCAAGAGCAGAACGTCCACCCTGAACATCGCCACCACTTCGCTGACCTGCCCCGGGGCTTCATCCGGGGCCCCAGCATCGCGAACGGGCAGGGTCACACGCCTGCTGACCCGCCCCAAGCCGTTCAGATGCCGTCCGCGTCGAGGAGGAGCGCCACCGGGCAGTGGTCGCTGCCCAGCACGTCTGAGCGGATGAGGGAGTCGCAGATCTGGGGCAGCATACGCTTGGAGACGACGAAGTAGTCCAGTCGCCTGTGCGATCGAAACAGCGATGGTGACAGTCAAGCTCCGCAGGAGTGGAGTGAGGAGACAGCAATGGGGGGGGGGGGGGGGAGCGTGCCAAGCTCCACAGGAGTGGAGTGAGAAGACATCAATGGGGAGCGTGCCAAGCTCCACAGGAGAGGAGTGAGGAGACAGCAATGGGGAGCGTGCCAAGCTCCGCAGGGGAGGAGTGAGGAGACAGCAATGGGGAGCGTGCCAAGCTCCACAGGGGAGGAGTGAGGAGACAGCAATGGGAAGCGTGTCCGGCTCAGTGGGGGAGGAGCGAGGAGACAGCGATGGGGAGTATGCCAAGCTCCGCAGGAGTGGAGTGAGGGGACAGCAATGGGGAGCGTGCCAAGCTCCGCAGGAGTGGAGTGAGGAGACAGCAATGGGGGGGGGGGGGGGGGGGGGGGGCGTGCCAAGCTCCACAGGAGTGGAGTGAGGAGACAGCAATGGGGAGCGTGCCAAGCTCCACAGGAGTGGAGTGGGGAGACAGCAATGGGGAGCGTGCCAAGCTCCACAGGAGTGGAGTGGGGAGACAGCGTGCCGAGCTCCGCAGGCACGCTGTCACCTGTTCAATTTCCATGTCCGCGAGGCCTTTGACATGTGTGAAAAAATAAACGACGCAGCCCACGATCCCTTGGCAAAACGTAAAGCCCCAGAACAAAGGGGCAGAAGTCAAAAGAAACCATGAACAAATAACTTTGAATGATTGCAAAACTTGCGAGTTCCACCACGCACACCACTTATTCAAAAATCACAGCTTACACGTTGAAACTAGAACCATACTCTGCCGTACAATGCCAAAAGGCCTAAGAGCCACTAGTTAACAAAGCACTTACGCCTTTCTGCCTTTGGACGGCACTACTAACCCGACACTTCACTGGCGACTTATCAGTAGAAACGTCCCCACCCAAAAAAAGTTAGTTAGAAGCACTCACCATCCAACATTCTTCGCACGAGCGTTTCCCATATATGTCCAAAACGTATACACGTCCTTTTTGTCCGGATAGTAGTGCCGGAATGAATCAACAAGACCGTCCTTGCCAACGGTTAACAGGTCCGTGAACCCATCACGCTCCTCCTTTGTGAAGCCAGCATTCTTTGTATTCGTCTTCGGGTTCGAAAGGTCTGCAAAAATGGAAAGCGAATCACAAATTGCTTCCAGGAAGGAAAGCATTCAATATCCGTCGCAAAAATTCAAACAACCTGCAAACGAAATTGGCGTAATCCAAATATCGACCAACCGATTTCTTGATGAGCTACATTGAAGTCTCCGCAATACACGACAGGTTTCTTTTCGTCCAGCTTGCGAAGATGCTCTTTAAGCAGGGCATCCCATTTCATCCTCTTCGGAAGGGTCACCAGCTTTCTTCCTGCGTTCGGGACATCTGCAGCAGAACGAATAGATCAGGTTCAGCTCACGGGCGTTGACTGGGTCTGTGCGTGATATACGCGATGTCAAATGAAGAGTGAGAAAGGAGCAACCCACTGGCTTTGACAGAAGACGAACCTCCAACCAATATCAGCTCAGTAAAGATCAATCTGCTTCCGTGAGGATGAATGACCAGCTCACTAGCGCAAAAAAATAATGCTTAGGCAAGACGACAGGAGAGACAAAGTCATTCATCTCTGACTAGAGAAACATATACATTCATTGAGACGCGGTCATCTATCTTTCATAAACGATGACACTTCCTACAGATAAATCAATCAAGGAGAACTTCGCTAACGTTACACACTAATTGACATCCAGCACATACCGCATAAAGTTCTGAATCACATCACACAGCCATACATCCATGCACTGCTGTCTGGAAACAGTACCGCATAAAGTTCTGAATCACATCACACAACCAATCCGTGCACTACTGTATGGAAACAGTACCGCACAAAGTTTTGAATCATATCACACAACCATACACCCGTGCACTGCTGTCTGGAAACAGTACCGCATTAAGTTCTGAAACACACCATACAGTCATACAGCAACGCATTACTATCTGGAAACAATACCGCATATAGGACGCAAATTTCAGACACCTAATTAAGTGTACTCAAATGAGTCAAACATTTCACTCTTGTCGCAAAATGTCAAATGGGTCAATGCACAAAAAATATCAGCAGCACAGCCATTGTTTTGGGCTTAAGAGCAGCCGCGGTGTTATTTTCCTACACCACATATGCCTCCCATTGTAATGAACAGCGTGCCACAGGTATCAAGTACGGCTCTGCGAAGATCCCCAGTCATGGCCACAATGGAAGACCATGATAAATATTCTGTCACGGAATGTAACCTATCAGCAGCTGTTCAAATACTCGGACAGATTGCTATGGTTCATGCAGTTTACTTACAGGCTGTTATCAGGTAGAACTTGTCATATTCCGCCGTTATCAGCCTGGCTTCTTCGTCTTGACTTTTATCTCCGATTCCATACGTCACATCCAGGGGTTTTTGCTTGCTGTAAAGTCCAACCCCACAGTACCCTTCCTGCTTGCCTGAAAATGTAAATGGTGCACACAAATATCACCGCCACAGAAATACGCACGCACACGTGCAGCACAACACATCACTCATCACATGTGCACAAGCTGACGTTCAAATGCTGGCACCCCAATAATTCTTCACCTCACATCCGGCATCCCCTGGTGCGTTCCTGGCTGTCCTGATCCTGATAAGACTGCACTTTGCATTACCTGATAGCCAGTATGAATGGTACCCCTTCACGTGCGCCTCGGCAGGTAGTTTGGCTTTCGAGCACTTGGTTTCCTGAAGGCATATTATATCTGGGTCTTCGGTGGATATGTACTTGAACAAGCCTTTCTGAAATGATATCAGCCTATAGGTTGAAACTGCGCACACACGGGTGACAAATATCGGCGTTCGAACCAAGGCCTATTTAAACATGTTGACTAAGGGGGGGGGGGATTCTCACTTACGACCGAAAATCCCACCGAGTGATCAGCGGGACCCCCAAGCTCCTTCCCCTACCAAAAGAGGTACGTGAGGCAACAGCTTTTCGTGCGGGGGGGGGGGGAAGAAGCAAACTAAAATAAGCGCACAGCCGTTTTTTGAACGCCACACTTCACATTTCACCAGCTAGAATTCAGTTTGCGCAGTAGAGCGCAAAGATCGTGGTACGGGTATCACCAATCTGAGGTCTGAAATCCTGACGTTTGTGAAGATTCTGCTGAATTCCATTATGCTTGGTTCAATTTCATGAGCCACTGCGATCGCAAGCCAGAGGGAACCTATCGCACACAAAAACGGCGAAGTTGGCCAGCGACCCCACGCAAAATGGGGCAATAAATACCCAAACAGGCAAAATCCAACTGATCCACGTGATGAAAACAGTACGCCGCTCGACGCAGCCTAGTCGATTTTCCGGTGGCAAACACGTACAGAACATGTGAATTATAACGTGATTCGTGACCCACTCGTCAACAAAGTAAAAAATCACTAATTTTGGGCTACTGCAAGGTTAAAAACCACCCTTATTACCATTGAGAAGTTTGCGAGGTTTGTTGACCGGCTAGGCGCTACGATCGTGACCCCCATGGCCCATAATATATACTTGTTTGCCGCCGATAAATCGACTTTGGCATGAAGAATACCATGCTTGTAATTATGGCACGGGCACATGGTCCTTGAGCGCATGAGCATTTTAGTAGGCTTCTTAAAGAGGGGTTCTTGTTCTCCTAGTGTTTTGCTCTTAACATATAATATATATATATATATATATATATATATATATATATACACATATCAAATACTGTTTCGAATGCCAAACAAGCCAAAGCTTGCACTCAAACGGTCGAGATCCATACGCACCGAAATACCCACGGACGAGTTCAACTATGACTCACATAATGTTCACGCATAGAATCGCTGAAGCAAGTGCTTTACCTTAGCGCACGCTCGCAGGCCGGCCACATTCCAGGAAACAATTTTCGTGTTCCACTTGACTCCGGTTGAGCCTTTGGCATCGCTCGCATCCTGCTCTCCAGAGGAGGCGATTTTAGCCACTTTGGCTTTGCTGTCTCCAGAACTCTTATCCTGTCAAAGCAAAAACATACCTGACCTGCATGACAACCCATATTTAACTGTATTGCAGACCAATTATATCCGAAACAACATGAGAAATACGGCATTATCTGCATTAGTGCTAACACCGCAGTTCTTCGACAAGATACAATACGTCTTGTGTGGCGTGCAGCCGGGCCTAGGACCGTACTCGGACCGCACGTCTTGATGTGATTCCCCAACGTGACTGCATCAACTTCGTGGTGTTAGATACCATGAAGTGGAATCACTGGGGCGTTCCGAATCAACGTGATTGTTACTAAGAGCTACACGTGGACACTATATGACCGCTCAGTCGATGCGCTCGAAAGCCCAAAAACTGCTGTTACCAGCTTTATAACTTGCGCACCTTTGCCTTCCGTTTGCTGCTTGAAGACATGACTTCTAGAGGTTTCAGCAATTTCCCGCAATGATCCCTGTGGGAAGAATAACATGGAAGGTTTGAATGAACTTCACTGAGTGGCTTCATAATTAATCATTTTCGCATCGATGACATTGCCCAAATGGCATTATATTTGCCCAGTTGCCCAATGGAGCTACAGTTGCCCATTTTCCCACATGACATTGCCCACAAGGATGGGGCACAATATTCCAAGCATGTGTCAACATACCAAAACAACCAGCTGTTCCAAGGTTTAATGAGTGTTAATTCACTGCCAATTCACTAAAACACGTATGGTTTCCTGGAAAGGCGTGCTATGATCGCTAAGTCAAGTATTTACCGTCAAACTCAACGGCATGCAATGATACAACTTCAACATGAAACTTACATGCCATTTCACACAACACGTCACATTGCTTCCAGCACTAGGTGACTAATAAGACCAGGGCCTCCCGTCAGGTGCGCAGCCAGTGCTTTGGACGAGGGGGCAGCAGGGTGATGACCCCCCCCCCCCAAAAAAAAAAAACAACATCGGATTTAGACCACTCGATTTCGAGGAATCCACCTTCGCTTCATTGTATTTTCAGTTTTTCATCTTTTAACAAAAAACAAATAGACAAACAAACAATTTGTCATTTGTCCGTCCCGGTGGCTTAGTTGGTTAGAGCGCCTGCCTCCCGATTCACCCATCCGTGGCGGGGTGGGTTCGACTCACTTTAAGGCGCTCGCTATTTGCCCTTGACAGGTATGGCCTGCGGCCGGTGGCAGCGGTCGCGCCAAAGGTCAGTTGACGTCAGAGGGCAGGACGGACCGTGCCGAGCATTGCGGCACGTTAAGCTTTCGCCACAAAATTCTGCCGTTGACATGGAATTGCGCGATCGGATGGTAGGGGTCAGGGCTCACACAACAAGCACTGCTTAGCGTGAGCTCTGATCCCGGAAATCCATCCATTCAAAGGCTTCGGATCAAATCTTTAAAAAAGGAAGAAAAAATTAAAAAAAAAACAACAGAAACCAGAGGATACAAAAGCGTGCACATTTATCCATGGTAAATACTATTCGTTCTACAACGGTTCAGTACGTTTTTTTTGTAAGCGTATAACACACAAGACCGTTGCCGGAATTTTGAGGACCTACAAAGATATTGCGGAGCCCTATAGATTAAATATATATCACACATCGCAATGGGGTTACACATTTGTATCAATATGGCCACACATGCTTGCCGGCCGCCACTCAACCGCTCTTCATAACTGATCAGTGAACGGGATGTTTGACAGTTTTGAGCATGCGCGCTCAACCCGAGGCATAAACACCGCCGCCCGACGGTGCTGGCTCCGCGGACCGCACGGCGCCGGACCCGCGACTCTCAGTGAAACGGCCGCCACGTGGCCGACAAAAACGTCCGCAGATCGCGGAATAGTACCTTCGAACGCTGCATAAGATCAATCCGTACGTGTGGGAGGAATCCCGGGCCGTATATTTGACCTGTGCAATTTTTGTTTTGCTAGTTGGAACAGAAAAGCATTCACGGCATAACGAAATCTTAACGTGACAGTTGAATTAGTAACAGTAGTGTTGCTGTACCCTCAATGCATTGACAGGCCAACCGCGACTTGCCCCGTGGAAATACACGCTTCCGTGCAACATTTTAAAGTTGCAGACTAGTCTTGTTAAGCTTTCTGAAGGATTGTTTCACGGTGTATGGCTGCTATCGCGCGCCAGGCACCCGTCGCCTGATATTAGCTGCAGTGACCAACTCTGGTCGGTTCGACGAAAACTGCAACGCCAGTATCCGTGTTCTTGTTCCTAAAGCATGTGAGTGTGCCTGTTCAAAACTATTTTATAGAACTATTTAATCAGCCCATTCCGAGCAAGAATGGACGTCCTAAGGACACCATGCCTTTTTAATGTCAGAATGAGTTTCTGACCCCCAATTTCCATCCACTCTTTCGAACACTAGGATACTGCATACGTTTTCCGGGCACAGGACACCATGGGAAGAGCACTAGGAGTCGCATTGCCCTTCTTGGTCAGGGACTGAGGGGCTCTTCTGTCCCAGCCTGGGACACCTGTCAACTGGCATTCTGATGACACAGGGGCTGGGACCCTCTGGTCAGTCCTGGGGCCCAATGACAGGTCCCCTCACATTCAGTGTCTTGTTCATGTCCACCAAATGTGCCTTGGTTGATTTGGGGCCCCCTGCCCACATAAGACCTCCTGGTAGGCACTACGGACCCCTGGCCAGCACAGGAGGCATTTGTTCCAGGAGCCCAACCAATGCAAATGACAAGACCCTTCTTGGTAAATCCCCCCCCCCCTGCCATGAGGATGGTCAGCCTGGCAAAACAGGAATTTTTTGGGATGTGATACCTTTGCTTTTTAGTCTCCCCACTCCCACCAAAGCAGGAATGGCCCTAGAGCACAATTTCTTTATCCACACTTGGGTACATACAATTATTAAGATATTGATCATTTTTGGACTGGAAGAAAAGCATGTGCATCAGGTGCACATGATGTTTTTCTAGGTCTCTGCTAATTTAAGCAATTTGTCATCAGTTAAAACCTATTGAATGTTGATTGGTGTTAACATGTTGCAACCTCCTGTTCAAAACCAGGAGCTTAAGACCTTCATTCATTTTATCAAGTACAACTGATGGTTTTTAATTTTTTTGAATGTTTCATTGCACACAACAGCACCATAAAGACCATCTACAGAATGCCACCCAAAGAGACAAAACAGCACTGCAAGTTCAACATGAAGAAATACTATGCTATTATCTGCTAGACAGATGACTAGAGTTACATCAAATTATCCATAATTTGTATTTGTTTGCAAGACATCTAGCAACATTATTACAATCAAGATCAGGCAATCAATATTGTGCTGTTTAACCCTTAAAAGAGCATCATGAGTGATGTAATGTTTCCCATCCTGTAAGAATATCAAACATGTTATCTTCAGAAGAGCTCTTACACATCTTCACAGGAGTGCCACTTTCCTGAAAACTTAGGGGCTACACTATGACTGCCAGAAGGTAGGCCAATTTCAAGAGGACACCTGTTTCCTGGCATATTCTGTGACAGGTTTAGCTATTTGTCCTGCTTAAGTGCTCAAATGTGAGCACATGCCTCTAGGTTCACATGTGAAAACAAGAGAAGTCCAGGGGCCAGACTACAAACAGGTAAATGTTACACCACATATGTCCAGTATAGCAGCAAGGCAGTGGGCAGGCATTGTTGACACAGTTGAGTGCATGCAAGAGGTAAATCAGTATGCTCAGCCTAGCACTAAGTCACAACCAAATTCATTGCATCAACAATGCCTCATGAAACATGCTGGTGCAAATGGCATGTGGAGGCCCTCTCCAAAATTTGCAGGCATAAAATTTGAAAATTTGGTACCATTTGGTCTTGCACAGGTCAGACACACACATGCACCAGGTTCAGCACATTGATGTCAAACATGCACCTAATACAGCACATCAGCTTTTGCAGCTAGGTTGAAGGGAGCTCACAGGTCACTCCCCTCCCATGAGCCAACATATTTACATGGCATTGGGCGATCATGCAGCTACTTGGTCCAAATGCGCGGCAATTTGGACAACCCGGGCATAAACGTGCGCCACGGAAAGACTTCGTCATTCTCGCAAAGCGCAGACTACAATGTAAGCCATATTTGCTCACCAACACCTACCCACCTCACAGCACCCAATGGCAGACGCGACAGCACCCAACGCATTCGACTCCCCGCCAGTCTTGGCGCGTTTTGTCCTGTTTGGCGCGATGAGGTGAATGTTTTGTCTTTAGTGGTGGTAGAGGGATCCTTCGATTTGTAACGCAATGACGAACAATATAACGACACTTTCGAATAGAAATAGGATTTTCATGTTTTTATATTCAGGTAACTCCTGAAAAGAGTAAGGGATGCAGGCAAACAACGGTTACATTCCAGGAGAACATTCGACGACTTGCTCTGTCGTAGGATGCATCCCATGCATAAATATACAGAACCCTGATAAAAAAATAACGTAACATGACGGCGGTCTGGCTAGGTTCGTGAAGTGCAATTTATCCAGATATTAAAGGCGTCTTCAGAATGATGTGGTTGCTTACCCTACATTTATTTCAATAAGATTTCTACTTTCGTGGCACATTTCTTTACGTCCGTCAGGTGGGCACCGCATTCACATTCAGATTCCGGTCCATATTCGGGATTCAGCGAACTCCTCAAATCAGCCTGAAACTTTGCGCACAGATGCAGTTTAATCTCCTGAGCACAACGAGCACAAAATATTGGATCGACACGCCCTATTACCGGAGATATATCAATATCAAAGATGACAACTACAAAGGTGAGTCCTTCAATTCTTTCTAAACTCCGCGAACTGGTAGATATTGACCTCCTGATTACGGTAAACACAAAATCTTGGACCGGTACACTGTATCAAAAAGTTATAGCTGTTCTAATGTCAAGGTCGCGAATGCAGCACGCTTTGCATTTTACAACATATCCTCGAGCCTACCGTGGAAGGCAAGCGGGGTCCAGCAGGGCGTGCGGCAGGTATGTTGCGGCACAGAAACGACGAACTCCTGCGTTCTCATGGCCAGCAGGGCGTGCGGCAGGTATGTTGCGGCACGGAAACGACGAACTCCTGCGTTCTCATGGCCTGTGAGCAAGAAAAGATATGCCTCAAGGAGCGAGTCCAGGGCAGGCAAGTAATTCCACAAAATCAAACCACCATCTCCAGTGTTCCGAGCACACAAATCACTATCACGTTGCAACCAGTTCTCGGACATGATCAAAGGAAAAGCCAAACGACCGATCTGTGTTGTTTCTGGAAAATCATATACGCTTCACAAGTTCACGGAGTTGTTGGCTGCCTTACAAACAAAGCCGCAAAAAATGTCTTTATTTTGACGCAAGTTGTTCAGTGCATTAGCGGGGAACATTATCCACATAGATAAGACGATAGTATTAGCCTTATCCCTCGGAGAAAACCGGGAGAATGGATATATAGTTTATTTGAAAATTGTTGAAACAACAGAGGAAGTGCTATTGTTTAGATGCAGGCATGTCGCCGAAATCTCGACCCAACCATACCTGTTCTTCTGGTGTTTCTCCGAGGAATAAGACTAATACTACTGTCTTAGCTGTCTTCATTTTTATCGCAGCTGTGTCCTTATGCTGTCACCACCCAAATCTTGTGGGCTCCAAACAGCCCACAGGCCTATGGACTCACTGCGGGGCGGCGGCGCTCGGCACTGGAACACCTGGCCCAGTGGTGCCGGCTGAGCGCATCCAATTTCAACGCAGCTTGTCAAATGTGAGTGTGCATATCATCCCGAATCCGCCATATAAACTGCACACCCGGTAAAGTGAACAATCTTTTTCTCCTTCGTGCAGTGTCCTGGGTCTGTCTGTCCCACGGCGAACGACCATGCCGGCCAACCCTGGCTATCAAGCTGCATTGTGGCCCTCAATGCTGGCGTAAACGCTCCAGCCGGAGGTAACGTTTAGTGAAACCATGACCTCGCCGCGCGCCCGGCCAGTGGGCGACGAACAGCCGGTGAAAATCTCAGACTCGCCTTCCACACATGTAAAACTACCATTCCTACAGATGGTAAGAACACAATCAAATGTTTCTTGCCCTTATATTTACATCCAGGTACAAGCTATGTGAGATTGCCGTGAATTATCACAGGGCATCGCAGCATGGTATAAAATCACTCCTTACATCAAAACTGGAGGCATGAACACGTCCAGGCCTATTCATTCCATGCCATGCCTTTGTCTTGGACATCGTGTTCCCACATCATTGTCACTGGTGACACAGTTCAATTGCTATGCTCTTTGGACCACATGGACACCATATCACGCACCGACAGCTGCTTTCACGCATCAACAGCACCGGCACTCGAGCAACCGCCACGACAAGTCACGAATCCACCAACACGCGCGGTGCGGCCACGGACGGCCCAAGCACCAGCCCGAAGACGGCGACAACGCTGACTAGCGCCACCTCTCGCCCGCGTGATGAAGCGACAAGTCTCCACTAGATGTCTCTCATATCGACTTGACCGAAGACGGCGCGTCGGCGTCGAACACGGCCGTGCGGTCGACCAGGCCGAGGCCGTAGCCCGCGTGCAGGCCGGACTTGCGGCTCACGAACTCGGGCTTCTCCACCTGCACCGCCAACGTGCCGAAGCCCAGCTGCTTGAAGATGGACGTCACCTGGCGGCCGTGGGGTGGTCGGGTCACGACAGTGCGATGCCAACGGACCGGGCGCGTACAGACCGTCCGACCAACCGCAGGGTTCAGCTTGTTACCAAGGCGAGGACCAATAACGCACGGCTAGAGGCTCTAGGTCACAACATCTGTCAGGCATATGGCACTCTCTCATGAAGCCAGGCCAACGGAACCTCTGAGTTCACAGTTCTTATGCGGGGTTATCGGCCTTCAGAACACGAGGGGGTGCTAGTTAAACGTTCTGGAGAAAACACTGGCTATGTCGACAGCACTCAACATTTCAGACCACGGTTATGATCACAAATCTCCTGGCGGATTAAAAGTCGCTGTCACGACGTTCCAAAATTCATTCCGTAAAATGCGCAGGAGATAAATATAAATGCATGCTCATAAAATACTGGCTCTCCGGCGGCTTCCGTGCGCACAGCTCATTGGCTGCCTATCTGTTGTCCTGTGACCCTAAATCCGGACACCTGAACTGTCCGGCCCATTTGCCAAGTCCGAGGCGCCCGGTTGCCGGGTTGACCACCGCCCGGTTTGATGCCGATTGGTCGATCCTAAGCAAGGGGAGGAGTAACGGCACTAAGCCCCGAGCCGGGGGTGTGATAACACGAAAATATAAACATTCCTGCCAGCCCAGGGGACCAAATACTGAAACACTGAAGTTCATCATGGCTTTTGACGTAACAATCCGAAAAGCCGGGAGCCCTTCACCATACCCTGTCCTTTGACTTCTTCCCTGCCCGCCCTTTCAACTTACCGTTCTTGTTTTTACAATAGGCTTATTCTTCTTATAATGAATAGATCCAGATCCTCACGTCACCATTTAAAAAAAAAAAATCGAGGCATGTACTGGCTGACGTCATCAGCGTCGTGACTTTGCGCACCGCACGCTTTAGGTTCTGAAATCTGACGTAGCTGGTGCCTTAAGCCTATATTCCGCAGGTCCTGAGCGGCCGTCCTGCCACCCAGTCCATTTCAGCGGCCGTCCAGCCATCCCGTCCCGTCAGTGGCCGTCCAGCCATCCCGTCCAGCCGGGCGGCTGTCCTGCCATCTTATCCAGCCGAGCGGCCGCCCAGTCGTCCTGTCCAGTCGAGCGTACCTCGATGTCATCAGCTCCGTTCCGCCCTGCACCGCGCGCGGGCTCGAGCGGCCGGCGGCAGCGCTCACCTGGCCGATGACGGTCTGCTCGCTGGCCGTCTCCTTGACCTGGATGTGCAGTGTGCCGACCCACTGATCGGTGGCGTGGCTCCAGAAGTGGGGGTCGCTGTAGCTCTGCACGCCCTCCAGCAGCAGCACCTGGCCCGACACTCACCCGTGTCAGGGGAAGGACACACCCCAGCCAGCTGACAGCACCCTCCGCGGCCCATCACCCGATCACCGGTCCAGCAGTCCCCGATGCACGCGAAAGCTATTAATATGGCGTGGACACTGGCCGCGGCATGGAAATCGTCCATCATCGGGAACGATAACTGATAACTGACCACGACTCAGACCACCGGCAAGAGTGGTGTTTAAGGAAGGCATCGGTAGCAGGATGTGCCCACATGTGCCCCCCCCCCCTCCCTCCCAAATTTATACATGCATTAATATGCACGTGGATAAATGTATGCTTTAAAAAATCAACGCACACGCAGTTAAGCGTAAAAACACGTACATTAGAAACACGCTATGCTGGGCGTCACGCATGCAATTTCGTGTCCATGAATCGACCAAAACTGATTTTCGGCAAAATATTTCAGTTGTGCTCTTCCCCTTCTCCATGGCACAATCCCGCACACATCCCTCTCTGGACCAAACCATAAGCCAGCGCATCCTTCATGACGTTGACGCCACCACGAACGCCGGTGAGCACGGTGTGGGCACCATGGCAGCCCCCGCGACCGGCGGCATCCCGCCGGCAGCTACAACCAGCCTCCTTTCCACAAATATAATTAACGACGCAACTGCAACGCAGCCCTCTCACTCTCACTCTCCCATTCCGAGCCTGTGACAACGAAGAACCGATTCCTCTGATGTCCTGGTCAATAATGGCCGGCGCTGGGTCAGTCGTATCCGCTTGATTCATCGACGAGACGAGCCGAGTCACAATGGCTTTTTAAACCACAAACCTTATCGGTTTGCGTCTAACGCCTAAAAGCACCGTTAAATTTTATTTTATTTGTATGTACTTAAAGCTTAGTTTTATTCTTGTGCTTGAGGGCCTGTCACACGACGTTCACATGTGTACAAATGGAGCATCGGACGTTTTGCTGTCTCACAAGCATCTGTGCTCATAATAGAGTCTTTGGTGCCCAAGGAGCCGTTACATTCCACACAATTTTCATCCAAACGGATTCGATCAGAATGGAATCAGACAACAATCAGAATTTTTCAGAATCTGAGCACGAGTCGATTCAAATTGGGCTGTGTTACTCAAAATCAAGGGCAAAACGGCCGTATTTCAATTCAATTCAATGGGCCGTAATTATGGACATCATTCGAAGTCGCTCGAAGGATTCAAGCACCAGTCTGCTGGGCACATGGGTCTCTCGTGCGCCCCCTCCCCGCCCCCCCCCCCCCCCACAGCTGCGGCACCAACGACAACCCTCCCGGCCAGCTCACCTTGCCCAGCGCCTCGCGCAGCTGGTGATCGCGCTGGGGCGGCGCGCGCAGCACCAGCACCAGTGCCGTCTGCCGCAGCAGAGGGAGCACGCTGAGCACGATCAGCACCGCGATCAGCGCCGAGCAGGCGGGGTCGGCGGCCAGCAGGCCAGCGTGGCGCACCAGCAGCGCCGACACCACCACGCCCAGCGAGCCCAGCGTGTCGGCCAGCAGGTGCAGGTACACACCGCGCAGGTTGGCGTTCGGACTGTGGCTGTGGCCGTGCGCGTGCGTGTGCGCGCCGCCGAACACCAGCAGGCCGGCCAGGTTCACGAGCAGACCCAGCACCGAGACGGTCAGCAGTCTGGCGCGAGAGAGGCGCGGTCAGCAGTCTGGCGCGGGAGAGGCACGGTCAGCAGTCTGGCGCGGGAGAGGCGCGGTCAGCAGTCTGGCGCGGGAGAGGCGCGGTCAGAGGTGTGGCGCGAGAGAGGCGCGGTCGGAGGTGTGACGCGAGAGAGGCACGGTCGGAGGTGTGGCGCGGGAGAGGCGCGGTCGGAGGTGTGGCGCGAGAGAGGCGCGGTCGGAGGTGTGGCGCGAGAGAGGCACGGTCAGCAGTCTGGCGCGGGAGAGGCGCGGTCGGAGGTGTGGCGCGGGAAGAGGACGCTGGCCTGGTCGGAGGTTGTGGCGCGAGAGAGGGCACGGTCCAGCAGTCTCTGGCCGCGGGAGAGGGCGCAGGGCCCGGAGGGTGTGGCGCGGGAGAGGCGCGGTCGGAAGTGTGGCGCGAGAGACGCACGGACGACATCCGATGCAGGGAACTCGACATCCACAATCGCAGCGGTGTTGCGAACAACTCTTGTTCGTTATTAGACACACAAATATATACTCGGTTTCCCTGACCGACTTAGACACTGGAGACATGCGCCAAACGCAATTTAATGCCGGAACGAATAGTCAGTGGACGCAAATTGCTACAGACGAAGAAGCAAAAGAGCCTTGAGACACCCAGTAGGTCGAACAACAATAAACGAACAGCGTCCACGATTTCAGAGCAGACCTGCGCGACAACATGGGCCGGATAACCACAAATAAACTTTCTCAAAGTTATGGTAACCGACCCGCCATTGAAGTGGGTGTCGCACGATAGCGCAGCGGAATCCGGGCCCGCCGTCTCAGCTGCCCGCTTCGCTAGCAGGGCTCTCTGCCAACTGCCCCACCTACTTAACTGATGGCAGCACACCCATCCCTGTCTCGCTCGTCCGTTTTGGTGGCGGGGCCCCTGACGCTGTCTTGCCTGCTTCGACAGCAGGATCCCTTGAGCCCAGCCCGCTACCACGTCTGGTCATTCTGCGGGCAGGATGCCCCGCCCAGCCACCCGCCTGTCGTGATGCCGCTGCCTGCCGCGCGCCAGCTCACCTGTCCGTCTGTCATTCTGCTGGCAGAATCCCATGCCCAGCCACCTGCCTGTCGTGATGCCGCTGCCTGCCGCGCGCCAGCTCACCTGTCCGTCTTGATGACGGGCGGATCGAGCAGCCGGCTGACGGCCTCAATGAACACCATGTACGCCACGACCAGCAGGAAGAGCGCGTTCACGAACCCTGAGAGCACCTCCACCCGGCCGTAGCTGGAGCACCAGCCACACAGCGTCAGTCACCCGTGGGACAGGGAGCACTCACTGCCCCCCCTCCCCCCCCCCCCACACACACACAGCGCGGAGGTGTCATGAATACTCCACACAGCGCTGCGCAGGACGCCGTTTGAGCCATGGGCGGTGCACGCAACGTGTGCGCGAATAGAAATGTCACTAGCCTTAACTGGTTTCCTTGCTAGTCATTGCTCGATCCTTGTGAGACTCAGTAAGAGAGAGACTCAGTAACACTCAGTAGCAGCAACGGTAAGGTACACAACACAAAAGCTATGAAGTCCACGAGCCACGAGAACATTTGACGCTAGCACCAAGCTGTCGACTCGTCCCATTGTGACTTCACCTCTACAGCGCCAGTTGATGGGAGGTGCGGGCGGACCTACCCGTAGGGGAACTGTTTACTGGGCTTCCACTGGGCCACCACGGAGGCGGCCAGACCCATCAGCAGGGCCGTACAGTCGAACAACATGTGGAAGCCGTCAGAGATCAGGCTCAGGCTGTTGGTCCATATGCCGTACGCGAACTCCACCAGCATGAAGCCTGCAAATATAGACGCAGGACGCTGGTCAACACAGGGCTGCAAACCCAGAGCATATGCCCGGAATAGGTGCCACAAAGTGCATCAGAATGAATAAGGCAGACATATGAGTGCAAACCCTGCAGAAAAGCATAAGAACTGACAATTCCCCGATACAAAATTCCCGGAGCACTTACAACAGCAGCCATCACGGACGAGTTTATGTCAAAGCCCAACAGCCCAGAATGCAGGACGACGGCGAGACGGAACGGGGTTTAAGTCGACTGAGGCAACCTGACTAACGCGATTCCGGCAGATCACCACCGGCCGCCAGCTGGCGTCGTCACTGCTGCCGGCGCTCCACCACCTCTGGCTAACGCGATTCCGGCAGATCACCACCAGTCACCGGCTGGCGTCGTCGCTGCTGCCGGCGCCCCACCACCCCTGACTAACGCGATTCCGGCAGATCACCACCTGCCACCGGCTGGCGTCGTCACTGCTGCCGGCGCTCCACCACCCCTGACTAACGCGATTCCGGCAGATCACCACCGGTCACCGGCTGGCGTCGTCGCTGCTGCCGGCGCTCCACCACCCCTGACTAACGCGATTCCGGCAGATCACCACCGGTCACCGGCTGGCGTCGTCGCTGCTGCCGGCGCTCCACCACCCCGGAGGCGAACTGGCTGGGGCAGCGGTCCCAGTTCGTAGCGCATGACAGACGCGGTGGGTTCGGGGTGCATCGTCACGTGCACCTCATTCTCACCTAAGACTTCATAGTTCCTCACCAAGGAGGGGAAACTTTGCTACCACAGGGCCGTATCACGGAATTGCACGCCACGCTGAAACCTCAGCACTATCTCACGTTACGTCAATGCATGTCACAATGGCTGGCATTGCATGTCAATAACGCCAAGCCCCCAGTGCTATCTGATTGACAGGCTTAGTCTGACTCATTCCTACTTCGAACCAGTTGGGTGGCAGCGGTTACTGTCCACCCAACAAACCATGATCAGCAATCTACGGACGTACCCAACAACCAAACGCAACAGACTATACTTAACATGAAGTATGACAGAGCAACTGGAACCACCAAACCAACAAGCCACATCAAAGAAAACCTTCAAGACAGTTTGGACCGCTTGCAGTACTAGTTCCTAAAACGGGCATGAGAGACCCAGCTGGAGCCTGGAGCAGTTTCCCCGGTGCCATTCGGTGCCGCAGCCCACCTGCTGCCTCCGCCGACGCTACTGCCCCGCCCGCCAACGGCACGAGAGGTGGGGCGACGCCGGTGTGAATCCAACCGCCGCAGTCATGCCTGGTCGAGTGGCAGACCAGGCGCGGGCCCGGTCTGCCCCAGACCGGGGACGGGGCACCAGCGAGCTCGCCTCTAATGAGCCTGCCGCTATGGCCCTGCCCTTTCGAAAGCAGGTAACGGTATCTGTCTCACAGATCCACAGCGGCGCCCTTCCTTCACCGCGTGACACTTATCTCCAAAACCACCGGGAAGCTAGAACGACCAGTCCCTCCACCCTGTCCCGCAGCTCTGCCTCGACCCCCGGCCGGGCGGGGGGGGGGGGGGGGGGGGCACGGGCCTCACCGCCGTTGAGGCAGAGCAGGTAGAAGATGCGTCTGCTGGCCGGGTTGGCACGGACGCGGCGCAGGCCGTCGCGCAGCGCCACCAGCGCCGACTGCGAGCGCTGCTGCAGCAGGCTCGACGAGAGGGCGCTGTACAGGGGCAGCCCGCCGGCCGAGTAGCCCACCAGCTGGCCGCGTGCGCCCGAGCCGGAGGACGTCAACGCGAACGTGGCTGCCGGCGACGACCATAGGTCACACGGCCAGCTGGTGACACGTGGCCGGCACGCGGGTACGTGACGCTCAACGTTCACCAGGGGGATGGGTGAGTAGGGGTGAGACAATCCGCACTTAAAAATAAAAATAAAAATTCCCTTTCGGCGGCTGTTGCGAGACCGCCAGCATTGAGGTTAGGTGAAGTGTATGACGAGCACTTTGAGGTGTTGCCCAACATTACCAAGTAACAGTAGCGCAACATTCCCTTGCTCCAATTCTCCAGCATTCCAGCTGCTGATCGGCGAAGAATGGGACGTTTCACCGCCCCGTTAGCGCCGCCGAGCGAGGCCAGGGCACCGACTATGACACCGCCGACCCGGCGGTCCGCGTTAATGCCTCTCGGGTTATGTCCAGCTACTGACCAGCGAGGAAGAGGAGGGCGCTGACTATCACGCCGGCCGAGAGTCCGTGGTGCGGCAGACCGACACCGTCGCTCAACTCTGACTCGACCAGCCAGCTGTAGCCCAGCGCTACAATGGTCTGCACCAGACAGGCCACCCGCGCCACCTGCGACCCGTCCAGTCTGGGGGCACACGGTGACACAACGGCGTCAGTATCTGAAGTGAGTCTGCGTGGCACAGGGCTGATGACAGCAAACGCAAGTAGCGTCAGCGAATAGTATCTCATCTTGTCCTCAAACAGAGCGTATCGTAAACGGAGCCATGCTCTGCGGTAGCTAAACGGAGCCATGCACGGTACCAGTCGACCAGTCATCTTTTGCAGACAAACCCCCACCTGTTGGCACTGATGGACTCCACGTAGAAGTCCAGCACATACAGAAGCAGGGCCAGCATCACTATGCTCGGCAGGTAGCCCGAGATCGAGTCCACCGCCGACGCCTGCAAGGAGAGGGGGTCAGGCAGCTGCCAGCAGCCACACATCTGCCGGCGAGCAGGCTCGACATGTCCCCCCCTCCCTCCCGTCCCCCGGGGCAACGGGTGGTCACGCCGTCCCAATGACGTCAGCGATCTTCACACCAATAAAGAGGCGCGTTGTCATCGAACTTCACAGCACCCAGGAAATTCGTTGGTAATGCAATAACGAGGGACTAAGCCGACCTGTTTTCCCAATCACCTAAATTTTGCAGCCAACGCACCGCACCACCGGGAATGGAAGAAAAGAGGGACGCTAACGCCAACACATGAACACGTGTTTTACACCCGACCAATCCCAGCCTTGGCAGGCTCTTCTGCCAAACAGAGCGGGCCTGTGGAAGAATATCACCACACACCTGACCTACAGGCATTTGCAGAGCTCCAAAATTCGTCCATCAGGGTATGCAAGATGTAAATATAAATTCATGCCACAACCATCCTGGGCCTATGGCAGCCTGCACACGCAATTCATTGGCGTTGATCTGTTGCCCTTTGACCCGGAACCACATCTGGCCCGCCTGGCTCATCTGTCAAGCCTGAGGCACTTAGACACTGGGCTGACCAACGCCCAGTTCGATGCTCACTGGCCGGTTTTGAGCAAGGGGCGGGGCAACAGGCAGAGCCCCGAGCTGGTGGTGCAATAGTACGACAAATATCAACACCCCTGCCACCCAAGTAGCTGAATATTGAACTACTGGGTAGTCACCACGACCTGACCGAGGGTGCTAGGCCTGACCTGCCCCGGGCACCATCCCCCGGACCAGCAGTACGGCGGGAGAACGCCAGCTCACCTGCAGAAAACAAGAGAGCAGCGCCAGCGGCAGCAGCAGCGCCGCCTCGCCCAGCGTGGTCAGCGTCTGCAGCCGCTTGGCGCCGCCCACCTCCACGGAGAGCTTGCGGCCGGCGCTGTCGTAGGCCACGCGTAACGCCAGGCACGCCAGCAGCAGCAGCACGCCCCCCTGAGGGCGGAGGGGAGGATGAGCGGCGGCTCGCGACCGGTGCCGCCCCCAGACGAGAAGTGGAACTTGAGTCCGACAGGACGCGGAATACGGAGCTTCGCAAGATGCTACTGATGCAGCAGTTGACATAAAATAAACAAGTCCCCAAATTCAACAACACTGTTGAGAATGCAGCATGTAAGCAGGAAGCACACATCAAACATTATCACTTAACACATCTTTTCATTGGGGTTTAAGGGCGCGTCGACTGCTAAGGCCATTTTGCAGCAAGCAAGACATCAGCCGCATCTCGCAATGAGTAAACCCAGTCACAAACTCACCACGATCTCATCGTGAGGCACACTCAGCCATCTATCAGCCCTCGACACAGCGGGCGCCTCCCTTGCGCTTGCCCGGGGTCCGCGCGCTCCGCGCCCAGACCATGCGTTCGCACCTTGTGGTCGGCCACGCCCAGTGTGTCCAGCACGTGAGCGGCCAGCAGCTGCAGGCCGACCGGCTGCTGGTCGGCGTCCGGCGCCGCCGTCACGTCGTTGTCGAACAGCAGCAGGGCGCCGGCCGCCAGCAGGAAGAGGGCAGCCCCACGAACCCGCGACGGCGTTCGGTTACCTACGGCACCGGGGTCAAGAGGTCAGGGCATCTATGGCACCAAAATCACGGGGTCGGGGCACCTGCGGTACCGGGGTCGCGAGGTCACGACACCTACGGCACCGGGGTCACGGGGTCAGGGCATCTATGGCACCGGGCCAGGGCACCCACGGCACCGGGGTCACGGGGTCGGAGCACCTGCGGTACCGGGGTCGTGAGGTCAGGGCACCTATGGCATCAGGGTCACAGGGTCAGGGCAACTATGGCACTGGGGTCACAGGGTCAGGGTACCTAAGTCAGGGACATGACAAGGCCAGAGCACCTGGGGCAGGGACATGCCACATGCCAAGGCACCTGGGGCAGAGACAAGACAGAGACCAAGGCATATGTGGCAGGGCCATGGCAGCAGAGGCCAGAGCACATCAGACAGGGACATGAGATGCCAGGGTACCTAGGGCAGGGACATGACAGAGGCCAGAATACCTGGGGCACAGGCATCACAGTGCTCATAGTAGGCTGACCTGTGGTAGGGGTCAGGGTATGCCTATTTGGGGCACAGAGATGATGGTGTTTAGAGGAGGCTTGCCCCAGTCATTTTATTAGAGTTACATCAGGCAAAGGAGTAAAAGGGATCACTACATGGTCACCTGGGAGAAGAGTCCCCATTGGGCTGCTGGCATTCAGTCACCAACACCAGAGGAAGGGACAGGGTTACAGGGTACAGAGCAGCAGATGCTGACCTGAGAGCATTTAGGTACTGACCTGAGAACACAGTGACAAGTACTGCCACGGGCACAGCATCCACCTGGCTGTAGAGCAGGACCGTCCTCAGCGGGCCGCACAGCGTCAGACCGTACATCCAGAGCACTGAGAGACCACAGCCTGCAGATCACAATGGCACAGCATCAGCCAGGGGTCAATGCAGGCAGTCGTAGCATAACCAGGTAAGGGCTCAGTCTGTCACACCATGTTCAATTCATGGAAAGGGAGCAGCCCAATTGGCATTGCCATTGATGACCATATTTGTATTGCTTACCCTGTGCATTTCTGGCTGGTTGGTATGAGGAATTTGAGCAGAAGCTGGCTGACTGGCAACATATCCAAGTTTGCACACTCACCTGCCAGGCACCTCCTGAAGACCTTTGACCTTAGAGGTGGGGTCAACACCTGGCCAGTGAATGGCTTCTGAATGGCCACCAGGCAGACTGCAGCACTGTGGACACAGCAGCATACAGCAGCCATATATAAACAGACTGCAGCTCTGCAGACACAGCAGCAGCACACAGCAACCATATGTAAACAACAGTCTGCTCAACACAGGCAGGACACACTATGATTATGAACTGGCATGGAGTATGCTAATGGCTGGAATACAGCACCCAGCTAGAATACATGCAAAGCAATGTTCCAATACCAGATTTCCATATTTATGACGAGGTTTATTTGGCAAGTTGTCACATAGTTTTGGCTATATGATGTTACTTACACAGACTTTGTGGTGAAAAGAACCTGCAGAATAGGAAGACCCAGCAAGCATGAATACAAAGAAACAAGGCCCAACACATGTAGGGCCTTGCCAATGGCTAGAAAGCCAATAGACCTGAAACATATAAGTGGTCAATGTCTGTGAAGAATGACTGACTTAACCTTAAATATTGCCTGTCATCTGTTCCCTTGACTGCAATTCAACATGAACAGCAGCTTACCAGGCATGGTGCTCATTCCAATATGGAATGAAAAAGTTACATTGGGTTGCAACACTAATTGAAGAAAACACATGGGGCTACATGATGACAACTAATGACATACAAAATCCCTCACAACCAACATTGCACACAATAAATGCAGGAGTTTCAGCATGCCTTGCCTGAATACACTTCCCTGGTTTAAGGTACTGATGCCATTGAGTTTTTTTGTGACAGCCTAAATAACTCACCAGTGCGCAGCTCCCAAATTGCTGACAACATGAGCATTTGTCATTGAACCTCTCATCTTGGACCTGGAGGGAAAAGAATGTGACATCATGAAACAATGATTATCCAGAAATAGTCATAGGGCTTGATAAATTCTATGACAGACAAAACCTGGATCATCTGGATCACAGCCATTGGGACCTGACAAATCTAGTGAATTTTTTGGCCACTGAAAGTGATGAAAAGAAGCCATACTACTACAGTGCCTGCTCTGCACAATGGCTGCCACATTTTTTAACCGCATTAATATAAACAAAATACATCCTAGCATGTTATTTTTAAAAATAGGTCTCAATAAAAAACTGATTGAATAGTATGCCAGGTGGTCCGTGGCACGCACAAAGTCACGAGTGGCAACACGAGGTGAATGTGGCAAAAAAGGCAATGTGAAAAATGCCAGATGCACTTCATCAAGTTTGGAGCGACAAATGCGAGCGGCAGCTTCAACAGCGCTCCAGGCATTTCGAACGCCATATCTCAATCCAAAATGCATTTCTTACCCTATACACGGTTCTTCCCTGTTGAGAAGGAAAATTCAGCTCAAAACCTCATTGCCGGCGTAGGGATGGTGCCAACCAAACTGCAACCATCGCTGTCTACCAGGACCCTCATCTCCGCCTCGGCCTCGCCATAATACTCAATGCTGCCAGATTGCTGACCACTAATACAAATTTATTGCTGATGCAAAGTAAGAAGGCCGCACAAACTACTGGCGCACGAAAGGCCATGCGACAGCGATGAATCTACCGCGGTGCATCGAATGCATACTCAGGTTCCCGCCTGGACTTATGGCAAGAGTCAGTGAAGCCGTTGGCTGCACTAAAACCTCAATTGCACCAGCAATATGACTGAGCAGGTAGCTCTCGTACATTATTCCTTCACGGACAGCATTAGGGGTGAAGAGGGGCATGCTGCTAGCCATGACAGATAACAGCTCACCGTTTGGAAAAGTTGACGTTAATTGGGTTATGAAATTGTATGAAAAGAAACAAGACAAGTCACTTCTATCACAGTGTTTTGTTCTTGGGGGGGGGGGGGGGGGGGGGCAGGGACGCAACGCTATCCTAGGTTCGCAAAACAGCGCAATTTTCCGATGCAAATCGGTCTGTAAACTTTAATTGCACTACAGAGTCGTTTCTTCCACCGATCCTCGCAGCACTTTCCGTTGCTTTCCTCGTTAACCAGCCCAAAATATCTAGCTGCGATGTTACTCAGGTACTGGTCGAATGCGGGCCGTTCTGCCTGGTCCAGATTTCAGGACGAAACTGGTTTACCACTCACCCATACCTTCCATGTCGGTCATCTATCATGATCGAGGGTCAGCAACGGACGACAAACAGTGACGGATAGACCTGACTTATTCTGAAATCGGACTCGAGGCCTCGCCAAACTTCTGTGCTTGGAGCTTCCAAGGATTTTGGCATCTTGGAAGCGGGTGAGTTAGGTATGATGCAGACGAAAATGGATCGAAATCCCAATGCGTTTTCCAGTCGTTTTAAAAATGTCATCTCACAATTGCCATGGTCATTTGACATTGCATAGTTCGTCACACCGATCATCGCTACATGTAAATGACCCATAGTGTTTGGTGGAAGTGCGCAGCGTTTGGTGAAAACCTGCCAAGCAGACTTCGGGAGCCCGACTTACATTAGCTTCGACTAAGGGCATGACAATCATCTCAGATCAGCACAATATCCAACATTTCAGCTGAGGAACGCACCACGATGCTTTATTCATGGCACTAATCACCGCCATTTCCGGCGCCCGTTCCGCGGACACCACCGGTCCGGGTTTGACTGACGCGGTGTCGCCCCAGCCGGCTGATTCTACGCGACCGTCGAGGGTGCGCCGGTCACCGCGGCTGGGCTCGAGGTCGGCACAGACAGGCCCGCCGGGTCAGCCGCTGCCGCCGCCGCCGCCGCCGGCGCCGACACCGGCGGTGGTGACGGCGGGCTGCGCAGCTGCTTGAGAATGTGCCAGGGCCTGCCAGCCAGCAGCGCGCTCTGGGCGCCCAGGTAGCGCTGTGTGACGGCGTGTTGGAATACGTCCAGGATGGGCACGGGCAGCGGGTCGCCACGCCGCAGCGCATCCACCACCGCGCAGCACGTGCCGCCGTACAGGTCCCGGTATACCAGCGACAAGTCCAGCTGCGGGGACATTGAGCCGGCTACGGTGATCATGCCCTACAACGGGGATTGGAATAGGTCGTGGTACATTCAGTTCAGAGCACGTTAGGTATGGCGGATACATCATAATGTAGCATGAACTGGGATAAGTTATCGCACGCCAGGGGCAGGTTCGTTATGCGTCAGCTGCAGCCATTTGCTTTGCGGCGACAGTGGCGCGGCGTGGCGAGCAAATGCCAGTGAAGATTTGCACCTATTGATGGCGAATTTTGCACTATCAAGGCTAGTTTGCATACGTGCTGTATGCCGAAAATTTGGTTTAGTGCGCCCCACGGGTTTTTCATCATGCAACACTGTCTAAGCGCAGAGTTCAGGCTCGTCACTTCGAACGTAAACAAAAGGAAGTGGGCAGCATCTGTGCTGCAAGTCACAAACGTATCTCAATAACGTAGCAAGCACTCCATCTTGCGCAAGTGCCGCCTCAATTCAGGAAGGACACAATCAAGCGACGCCGGCTCACACATAAAATGCTGGTGTTCGTTACATTTTTAGGCTCGGCATTTTGCGGAAAATGTTGAGTAGCTATGCCTGCAATGTGCGCAATCATTGCGTGCTTCCGCTTGGGAAGGGTTGGAATATATGTGGTTGGGAAATTGCATTGGTGACGTGATAGAAATTACACTTGGAGGCAAGTACATCGCAACACTTAACACGTTTGGAATGTCACTTAGAGTACACACCTAGCGCATGGATAAAGTTGTGTTCATATGCCTCTGGTAGCTGCACACATCTAACTCAGAATGAAATGTGAGGTGGAAAGTTGAGGCCTTCTCCGTACAACAAACTCCCGTTCAAAAAGCGCAATGTGCGCTCCTTTGCCATCGCATTTCAAAAGAGGAGCGGGATGTCTGTCACATGTGTGTCAAAAGCATATAGGAACAAACAAAGTTGTTGGCAAACATCGTGAGCTTGCATGCCTTTCCAGCTGGGGAATATCATAAAATGCATGATATACCAGTGACAGGTCGCGGCAAGCAACGCCCGGTCTCGGCAAATTAGGGAATGGATCACGGTACACCAGAGATAGAGCAAGTCAGGGGTAGATCACGGTACACCAGAGATAGGCCGCGGTAGGTACACCAGAGACAAACGCCAGCGAGCAGGGACCGATCAAAGTGCACAGGGGGGCGGTCGCCTTACACTAGGCACAGATCACTGAACCATGATCACATCACCATGGACAGGTCACAGTGCACCACTGAAAAGCTCGTAACGTATTAGGGACAGGCAACAGTGCACCATAGAAAGAACCCTAGACAGTTCTAGATTTAACGGGCCGATCCCCGGTAAGCCTGGGACAAATGACGTGCATCAAGGATGCGGCGCGGCATACCACAGACCGCTCAGCGCTTCAGCGGTAACACTTCATGGTACACTACCGACAAGGCCAGTTACGCCAGAAACAGGGCACGACACGGCTGTAGACGGACACGGGGTCAACTGTGGAGATCGGGCCTAATTTACATCGGCCTGACCACAGCAGCCACACTCGTCGCAGGCGTCAACCAGGAAGCTAACAAAGCAAGGCCCCAGGTGACTGATTCGACATCTCGGAGGCCGGCGCCACGCTGAGCTGGCAGCGGCGCGGCGGGCTCTCACGTCCAGCCGCTGCAGCGCTTGCGGCATCAGCTCTGCCGGCAGCACCAGCGTCCGCGCCAGCACCGTCCGGACGGCGCCCAGCGTAGTCTTGTTGCCCGTGCCGGCCGCGGAGTCCTGCTGACACGCGGGAGGGCCGTTACGCACGGTCCACCTGATGCCTGTAGTCACGACTGTAGCGGCCCCAGGGTCAATCTCGCACCTGCGACTGGTGTCTTTGAATGACCACTCCCGTCTTTGCTGTGTGGTGGGACCGGTTGGGCTCCACATTCGTTGGCGCTGACCGTACATGTCTACACGTCTGTACACGCATACGCTTTGTATTCTAACACATGCATGTGCATGTGTTAGAACACAAAGCGTATGCGTGTGCATTCATTATCCTGAGCCAAATACGATGTAGTATGAAAACATGCGCAGAACAAGAAAGGTTCAGAGGTTTCATACAAAGACGCCACTGCAGAGTGTTTGGTGCAACCTTTGTGACGTGTCAGGTTCGCCGGCATCGCCTGCCCTTCCCGCTAGAATGAGAGGCAGGCAACACCAGACAGCCTCAGCCGCTGATTGCGTAGTAAACCCCCTGGCGTCACAGAATGCCAAACTATCAAGTCACAAGTTGTTTTTAAGTTTTATATTTCTCAGTTCTCACCCGACGCAAATGCGCGAATTTACATGCAAATTGCAGGCTGTGAAAACCTTGGCTGACGCCAATCTGAGCGCGCCCTCTATAGCAGCGGCGACTACCGCCGTCGGCCGGCGGTCGCAGGCTCCGCAGTCGGCGGCACTCACAGCGGCCGGGGTGTCATCGACGAGCGGCGCCTCGGCCGGGTGCGTGCAGCAGGAAGGCCCCAGGTCGGTCCACGAGTCCACCGTGTGGCTGGCCGATGGGCTGATCGCCAACTCATCCAGCACCAGAGACTCGGTGCAATCCACTGCCAACAGCGGCGGGTCGCGTCATTGTATGTGAAAACGAGGCGGATGCTGTACTGACTGACGCTGTACGTAACCTGACGCCGAACTGCCACACGCACACTCGCACACTGTACGAGCCTGAGCACATAGCGAAAGACAATGCTCTCCATATTGCGCAAGCTCCCATGGACTTAGACACCAGGTGAGATGGGTGCAAAATCTGAGCGACAGCCGCAGCACGGAGAGGCCATGTGACTGACCGTGACTCGTCGAATTGACTATACCATTCGCCAGATCTGCAGTCCCGGACTCCATGTGCCACTGCTCCTGCGGGGCGCTGCTGTTACGCCGCTCCTGCTGCGTGACACTGCTGTTACGCCGCTCCTCCTGCAATGCACCGCTTTTGTGCTTCTCTTGCTGCGAAGCGCTACTGTTTTGCCGCTCCTGCTGCGTGACACTGCTGTTTCGCCGCTTCTCCTGTGTGGCACTGCTGTTGCGTCGCTCCTCCTGCGATGCACTGCTCTTGCGCCTCTCCTGCTGCGTGGCACTGCTGTTGCCCCTCTCTCGCTGCGTGGCACTGCTGTTGCGCCGCTCCTGCTGCGACGCGCTGCTGTTTTGCCGCTCTTGTTGCGTGGCACTGCTGTTGCGTCGCTCCTGCTGCGAAGCGCTGCTGTTTTGCCGATCCTGCTGCGTGACACTGCTGTTACGCCGCTGCTGTTGCGTGACACTGCTGTTTCGCCGCTCCTCCTGTGAGGCACTGCCGTTGCGTCGCTCCTCCTGCGATGCACCGCTCTTGCGTCTCTCTTGCTGCGTGGCACTACTGTTGCGCCGCTCCTGCTGTGTGGCACTGCTGTTGCGCCGCTCCACCTGTGTGGCACTGCTGTTGCGCCGCTCCTCCTGCGATGCACCGCTCTTGCGCCTTTCTTGCTGCGTGGCACCGCTGTTGTGCCGCTCTTGCTGTGGAGTGCTGCTATTTCGCCGCTCCTGCTGCGAAGCGCTGCCGTTTCGCAGCTCCTGCTGCGAGGTACCACTGCTGTGCCCCTCCTGCTCCGAACTGCTGCTGGTGCGCCGCTGCTGCTGTGAGACACTGTCCTCGCGCAGCTCTTGATGTGATGAGGTGCTGTTGCGTCGTTCCTGCTGTGAAGTGCTGCCTCCCTGTTCTTCCTGCTGCGAGGCGCTATCTCCGCGCAGTTGCTGCTGCGGTGCGGGCTGTTGCGGGCTCGTCCGGCTGAGCGGCGAGACTTGGCTGTCGGCCGATGACGGGCCGCGGCTGGCTCTGCTGACTGACGAGGCCTGGCTGCCGGACAGGGCGGGCTGACCAGCACCGTTCCCGCGTTCCTGGCGAAGGTGAGTCCTGCGAGGCGAGCGCAGCCGTCAGCAGTCAGCCGGCAACCCGTGGACGGGTCGCGACATGCACCCGTCCAACACGGCTGAATTTGGACGCAAGAGAACTTGTTATTTGCCCTCCACGTGACGGTTCGACAGCTGACTTTCGGGACGTGTTAGGATAAATGGTTTCACACTGTTCAAAGCGGTTGGTCAATAATCAGACGCTGTGGCCTTGAATTGGCTCGATAATGTATACGAATATGGTCGGTGTTTTAGTGTTTCCTTCACAGGATGACTGCTAACAATCATCCTGCTATCGACCGGAAGGTCGTGTCACACACTCCACAGAGGTGCTGGTCGGGGCCATCCTCGTCGTGGGTCCTCCACAGACGTTGTGAGCCAAGTGATCCTGCAACATGCCCTCCAACTCCACGGAGGCAAACACCGAGGCAGGAGGCCGGGGCATCGCGTCATGTACATTCCGCAGTTGAATGGACCGATAGATAATTTAATTTAATGTACGCCGGCAGGTAATGAGTCGATGGATGAAACATGTCGTCCACAAATGCACTGACTGGGGAGGATGTGTGATGCGCTGCCCGCAGGAGCACAGCAGCGCAAGCGGTGAGTTCCCATTCAGCAATGACAGCTGAGTATGAACTCCGACGAAAGACGAAAAAGGAAGCAATGCAGTGGTTTTTCTGATATTGGACTTACTGAGGCGCTATTCAAAACTTAGGTGCAGCAAATAGTCGTTCGGAAATTAATGCAGGGCCCATGATATGAATCGCGGATTACCGGTCGGGAGCTTCGAGGGGATGGCCTGTCTTCGTTCATTTTCGACTTGGTCACCTTCAGAATGACCTCTTTTGGCGTGGCTGGTTCCTCCTTGGCTGGTTCAGGCAACAGCAGAGGAGTGCTCTGGGTCTGGCGCACACGCCTGGAAGGCCCAACACCAGGATGTCTCATGCTGTGAATGGTATGGTTTGCAATACAGAGTTTTCTTCAACGTGCTCAAGGAATGGCCCATTAACGAGTAACCAGAGGCGACAAGCGAAACAGAAATGGTGAGCTTTCTGCTGGTAAAATGCCGGTATTACCTCAGAAACGATCGGTGTGTGGAACTGTGGTCGTGCTCCCATGCGCCACCTCTCTATTACAGCCACTCGGTATCGGCCGTGCGTATTTTCCCAAATACGGCTTACTCGCTTAAACGGTTTATTTTGAAGCAGACAGGCAGGGCTTAAGTTAACTGCAATTACCACGGCGGCTCTCGGGAGAAGACTGGCCGAGCACACAGAGCCGGGCGCCGTCGGTAGCGGGGTTGTTTTTCGGTGTGCGGCTGCAGGGCATTAAATATTATTTGTTGGTGTGCGTTTGCATGGCTGTACACATATGCCGATGCTGCAGGCGGCAGCCCTCTCGTTAGGTCTCTCGTAATTAACGCTAGGTTAGCCGGCCCGGCCTGCTGACCTGGAGTTAATGGATGGCACTACAGGACTGGCTACTGCCTTGGTGTCCGTTTTCCGCTAAACTAAAGCTAATTATTGCCGAGCTGAGATCGTGACGGCTCCACCCTTGGCACAATACGCCTTAGACGCGTACGTCGTGTCGTGCAGGTTCAGCTGGGGATCTGGTCTGAGGGACAAGCCGAATGCTCATCGTGTCAGAGTCATGGCCAGACAGTCATTTCTCAAGGTTCGTCTACGCAGTGACTATACAGAATCAAACCAAGGGCACACCCAACCAGTGAACTAAAACAATAGAGCACACAACATAACATTACAATACAAGGCATTCTCAGTGCCTGCAATGAGTGCTAGAATTTCCCAAATCCACATTTTTTCAAGATGCTGCTGCTCTAAAAGCCAGTACCCGTTGGGGCCCCCGCTAGCCTGCATTCGGGGCTCCAGCACTCCAGCTGCCACGGGATGGGTCTCCCTCAGCGACATCTGGGCACGCCTGACACACATGACCTTGACACAGGGGGGCATAGGTTTTCGGTCAAGGCTCTTTGTGCTTGAATCCGACGAAGCTGGTGCGCCACCTTCTCTGCTCAACGCCAGCCTTACGAATCCAGAACACTTAACACGCAAGGGCAACATGCTCTGATCGTCACACCTCCGTCAGCGGTCTGGCAGCATATTTGACTGTCTTTTGGATTCGGTGAATACGACCTTGGGCGGTGTCAGTACAGCGCAGTTCACGTAGTGTCACTGGCGGCTCCGACTGACCTGGGACGGAACTCCGGAGAAGGGGACTTGGCCGCCGGCTGCTCCGGCAGAGACTGGATGCGCGCCAGGTCCACCTGGCCGCGCGGGTAGTACCGCTCGTCGTCCTCAGGGTTTGATATGAAGATCGGGGTGTCTGCGGCACGCATGGCGAACGGTTCGCGAGCTATCTGAAGCCAGTGTCGACCATGTGATGGGTTGTCATCGAGAGTAGCTTCAACGTGCTGCATTGGTACAGGCGTTTACCGTTCCCAATGGAATTGAGGCGGTTTGCAGCCTGTGATCGCTGAAGACATCGTTTGAAAGCGGCATGACACATATGTCTGCATACGCATAGTGGTTGACCTAGCCAGAACCCCACTGAAGCTGCGAGCCGACCGACCTTCCAGAAGAGTGAGAGCGCACAGGAAGCTCTGCAGGAGGTCGTCGCTGCGACACATCCAGAGCAGCAGGGTCTGGTAGTCGACGGCGACGTCACCTGGAGCGCCGCTCAGGCCCACCAGCAGGCGCTTCATGTAGTAGGCGCGGTTGAAGGCCGGCTCCGCCTCGTCCAGTCTCGGCTTCATCCAATGCACAACCTGCGGATGCCGGTGAAGGATTTTGAGAAACCCCTTTACGCAGAGAGAACGCGCCAAAGTATCCCATTGGAAAAGTTGGCGCCAGTGTCATTATCAGTGTGGCGTCCGTACAGCGCCGGCCTCCTGTGGTCACGCTCACGCATTCACCCGCTGTATCGTCAGGGGCCGGAGTTTGGCTCAGAGCCAGCTGGTTTGACACCGGTCACGAATGCCGGTGTCAGAGCCGAGGGCAGATGGCCGCACTTAGGAGACGTGAATCGGTGCACATGGGAGGTCTTCATTTGGTCATTTGTGGTCCTAACCGCTGCCACAACGGTACTGGGACATCTGCAGGGCAGCTGGACAGCTGCATTGTCCCTGCGTTACCTGCAGCGCTTGTTCCAGTGTGATTTTGCCGGTCCGTTCGGTGTCGAACACATGAGCCATGGCCAACGCCTCGTGCATGTCGTATTGGTCTGGCCGGCTCCATGGCTCCAGCAGGTCATACACCAGACCACGCCAACTCATCACCTGCGCCAGCGAGGCTGGACAGGTCAGCCAGCTGGCCACACAACGTCACTTAGACTAGACAACTGGTCGTATGACTTTTCAACCGATTATCTAATCTTAAGCAGCTCATCGGCACCAAACAAAACCCTAATTGTACGAACAATAGAAAAGTCCGTCTGACTGGTGGCACTGGTTCATCGCAAAAGGCTCAGCAGTTTTGTCTTTTGGCGACAGGTGGCTATATTATATGTTGAAAACATCATTAGCTGGTCGACATAAAACCAAAAGTGAAGCAGTGAACCAAACAGCACAGAGCAGCACTACACGAGTGTACATGAACGGAACGATGCTACGTCGCGCCACACATTCAGCAGTGGCTGTTGGTCGTCATGACAAGTCAGCGGAACCCGCAGGTAAATATTCATACCTCCAGGCCATAGGCCAGCCGGGCGGACAGGCTCTCGATCTCATCCTGAGTAAGCGACATCCAGAGTTCGGGAAGCTCCTGCGTGCCAACGCCGCACACCACCAGGTCCTGCAGGATGAAGCTGAAGGCGCGTGTGGTGATGGTGCCGCCGGGCGCCGCCGTGTGCAGCTGGCGCCACAGGAAGGCCGCCTGGTCCAGGCTAAAGCGGTCACGCTCCAGCGCCTCGGCTGGCGGCGGCGGGCTGGCCGGCAGACACGGCAGGTGCGTGAACACGCCGGTGCGCACCACAAACCGGTCCTGGTCCAGCAACAGCTCGTAGAAGATGCGCTCCTGCCGCTCCACGGCGCTCCGGAGGTAGTCGGCCATGTGCGCGGCCGCCTCCACCTCGCGTTCATAGCGCTCTCCAATCGCCGTCCACATCAGCTGGAAGATGGCGATGGCGCGCTGGCGCAGCGCCTGTAGCTCAGCGACGGCACGGAGGCGGATCAGCGTCAGCCGCGCCGTCACGCGCGCCGTCTCCTCGCGCGCCGCTGCTTGGTACTCGGCCAGCGCGCGCTCACCACTCTCTTGGTGCGCGGCGGCGGCCGCCGCCGCTGCCTCCTCCTCAGGCGCCATCGAGTGTCCGCGGCCCGTCTTCGCCTTGGCCCGCGCTGGCGCCGCCCTCTTGCCTCCCTTGCCGCCCTTGACCGGCTCCTCGGGCGGCAGGACCGCCTGACGCACGCGGGTCTCACCTCGCTCCTTCGTGTCGTGCACGAACGCCAGCATCGCCCTGCAGGCCGAGTCGAGCACACCCTCGACGGCCGACGTCACCTCCTCGCTCTGGTTGCGGCCGCGCACGAACTGCAGCCTGGGCCGCAGCTGCGGCACGTTGATGACGTTGATGACGCCGCTGGCAGCGCTGTCCGGCTGGCGGCCGCCGGTGGCCCGGCGCAGAGGCCGTGCTGCGCTGCTGCTGCGGCTGCCCGAGTGGCGGCCGTCGCTGGCGGCGCTCGAGGCGCCCGACAGATCCGCAGGGTCTCGGCTCGGGATCTCGATCATACCTGACGTCACGTGGGGTGTCAGTAATGGTTATAGCTTCGAGTGCGTTGAATGTGATCGAACAGATCGAGCAGTTGGATAGACTTCTGTGTTCGTAACTGGTGTCATTGCTCGCTCAACGGCGTCACCGCCAGTAATTTCTTTAGTCATCGTCAGGTGTTTATTGGTTCTGGGGAGGGCCTGAGTGTGTCTGGCGTATAGTCGTATATGAAGCATAGCTTTGAAGATTTCTGGCGGCTTCGAGCTTCCAACCCACATATTCGTAATTTGTAGACTCTCTCCAAACGCTATTACCCTTTAACACTCTAATAGTTAGAGCGTTAGCTCATGAAATGCGATATCATCGGTTGGAAGCTCCAAGATGCCAGAGACTTCAGAATTTGTGGTACATATATGGCTGCTCGCCAAACACCCTCAGGTTCTTCTTAAGCACGACCGAAGGAATAAATGGCTGAAACGTGTGGGCAATGACACCGCTTACGAGGGCAGTAGTGCGATCACTTATTCCATCTGCACTAACACCTCGTCTAACCATTACCGGCACAACATCTCGACCACACTTGGCCTACAGATAAACGACTCTGTTTTGGTATCAACATGACGCACTGGGTGTGAAGTGGAAGTTACCACCTCTAGTCTCGGGATCTGGGTATGTCTGGCGCACTAGGAAACGGCTTCCTCCGAGTCTCGCTATCCCGGCCGAGCCTGACCAAAGACGCATTAGTCACTGTTCCGTTTGGCCCCCAAATTTTCCCTATCACACCGGACGCCACATGCCAGCTGTTCATTGGAGACATGGACGACTGCAGTCACCTTGTTTGAAGCTGCGCCCGCGGGCCTCGCTGTCGGACAGCTGCACGCCGCTCATGGAGACGAAGTAGTCCTCTAGCAGGAGGCAGGTGTCCTGGAAGCGGTCCATCTCGGCCTGCATCACCATCAGCCAGTCGTTGGCGGCCAGTGCTAGCCTGCGGCGCCAGTGTGGTCAGCTTCAGATCTGTGCACTGCTTGGTATGCGAAGGCACTTGCAGTACGGACGCAGCGGCTTTCCATGCTACCTCACATGGTGACAGTCATGTTAGAGGACGCGCGCTCTGGGGTGGAGGAGGTTTTGCCATCGGATGAACTGCCAAGGCCCTTGCAATGACCACCCTAAGGGTTTTACCAAGGATGCGGATAGCGACAGTTCACATGCTGCCCATTCATACTGCGGCGCATTTGTTTCACCGAAGACGTAAGAACGTTTTGCACAGAAATGTCTCCTAGTCATCGACGATCAAAGTTAAAAACACCGTGATGTGCCACAGAACTCCATAATATATATATATATATATATATATATATATATATATATATATATATATATAGTATTTTCTGCGCCACATTAACACGCACCCGGATGAGGGGGCAAAGTAACCCTCCAAAGGCTCTTTCAGAATGATTTCTGAACGGCGCGGCGTAGCCGCGCCAAACTGTGCATAGCTGTAAATAATTGAATAGCGGATCGTTTGACGCAAAAATTAGGTGCACTTTGTAAGGTCGCTGGCCTGTCACAGGTCAAATGGCCCCCTGCCAGATGGAAAGGTGTTTAACCGGTCACCCGAGTGCGTGCTAAAGACCAAAATATATGCCTATGGAGCATAGCTTAGATGTTCGCACTACTACCACTCATCTTCAGCAATCTGCCAAGCACGAAACTACTTCAAAGCATTCTGCAGGCCGGCAGGCCGCTGCCGACAGCGATTTTGACAGTCTGCTCACCTGCCGTCTCGCCGCTGTGAGAAGCTCACAGTCGCTCACCGGTCCTCGGTCCAGCCGGAGGTCATCACGTTGTAGCGCTCCTGCTCGGCCTCGCAGCGCCGGTTGTCCGTGATATTCCAGACTGTGTTTTCCAGCTCCCCGATGCGCATGTGCCACTCACACTTGACCTCTTCATCGCACTGCAGAGCTGGCTCCATCTTGTTGTACTCGGACACGAATCTGGCGCAGCGTCAGGCCGTGAGACGACAGTCCAGTGGCTCCGAAGCAGCCACGGCTTGGGACAGGTCGGGGATCGCGGGCACAGAACAAAACCAAGATGCCCAACGCTGCAGTCACGTCTCACCTGTCCAGGAACTGCTGTTTGTGATCGGGGCGGAGCAGAAACGCGCTGAAAGAAACTCGGACAGCGTGGAGTTGCTGTATGACTGCCGCGTGCTCCAGACGCAGGCGGCCCAGCCACTGTTTTAAGTTTGCCGTGTAATTTCTCTCCATTTGCTGCCACAGCAGAGCCAGGTACTGCAACATGAAAACAATGTATGTTGCTGGTGGGAGCGAAATACCTAAGCCAGCTGAAATCACCATGTCCCATCGGTAAATATACATGCACGTCATATCTACACACGACACAGGATACCATGCAGGATTCTACTAGCATTTACAGTTTGATTTATCATATATCATACGCAAGGCGTATGCCAACAGCTCATTCGCCAGTAAGGCTGTGAACTATTTCAATTCCCGTCACTCGCGTACCTGAGCCACATCTTGCGGTATCGGCGCGTCCATGAAATAGTAGCCCATTTCTCCCGGCATGGGCATGGGAGGAGGCGCTGGGATCTGGGGCTCGGCGTCCGCCGCTGGTTCCGGCTCCGGGCCATTTTTCCCCTTCTTAGCCCTTTTCCCTGCCACCTTGCCTTGTTTTTCCTTCGTCAAATTTTTGTCGTTCTTGATCGACTTGGCCCTGCTTGCTCGCTTCTTGTGCTTGTCGGGCGGCTCCTCGATGATGGGCTCTTCCTCGGGTTCCGAGTCGGGTAAGTTCTCGGCGGCGTCTAGCAGCGCCGCCTCCCGCTCGGTCATCCGCCTCTCCTCCTTCTTGCGTGCCCTGCTGATTTCAATCAGCTCCTCCAGTCGCGCGACCACTTCGCCCAAGCTGTCCTCGGCCTCTACCACTTGGTAGACGCCGCGCTCCTCGTAGAACTGTTGAAGTGGCTGGCGCAGCGCGCCGTAGCTGAACAGCTTGCCGGCCAGCATGACATGGTCGTTGCTGCCACTGTGACAGGTGCCTGAGTCTGGCTGGGAATCTATGTCGTCAATGAGCAGGCAGCGCCTCTGTTGCGCCGCCTCGTCGCTGACGTTCAGCTCCACCACCATGTCGAGGCCGCTGGTGGGCACCGGCCTGTCGCGCCGATTGGGATCCGGCACCAGACGACTCCGCCGGAACGGCTTCACTGTTATCGCCACCGGCTCCGGCGGCGGCGGCGGAGGCGGTGGAGGCTCATCGGGCGGTGGCGGTTCTTTCTGCTTCTTGCTCTTCTTGCGACCTTTCTCCTTGGCACCTTTTTTGGACTTCACCTTCACCTCCTCCGCTGGCGGTTCTGGCTTGGGCAGAGGAGTCACCACGATCTCAACCTCATCCATATCCTCGTCAGAATCGTACGTCTTTCCAGCCAGCTGTTCCTCCAGAAGGGCAGCCTGCCGGGGCGTGTTTGGGAATCCCTCGATGAACCAGCCAGAGTCATCGGGCAGCTCTCGCCAGGCTTCCAGGATCAGGGCTGCCAGCGTCTCGTCCCGCACCTCTTCCCCGCTCTCCAGAGCCGCCTTCACCTCCCGACCCAGCTGGGCAAGGCGACTGAACTCGAACTCTAAGATGCCATCCGATGTTGCTTCATCTGTGGCTTCTTCGTCCTGTTCACCGAGTTCTTCGTCTTTGTCGTGTACCTCGGATAGATCTGGACCACTTAGCGCGGATGATTTCTCTGTGTTGACCTCAGGTGAGATCTCTGTGTTTACTGGAGACTCCGGAGTGGCGCTCTCATTCTTATCAGGGATGACGGGCTGATCCAGCCCTTTTTGTGATTCGGAAACCACTGCACCAGTACTACTCTTCGCTGTCACTAATGTCTTTGATTCCTTGCGATCTTCAGCAGACGGTGGGGTATGGCTCTCTTGGCGTGGGTTGGGTTTGACACCGTCTCGCGCCACTGCTTGATCTGGCGAGTCGTGGGCAGCCCCGGTGGCGTCGGCCGCAGATGCGCCACCTAGAACAGCATCGCTGCTAGCCGCCAGCTCCCGGGACTGCGCTGAGCCCTCGCTGCCCTCGGGCGACGTCTGGCCAGTCTCCGCACCTTTCGCTGTGGCCTGATCTTCCGCATCCGCCGGCGGTGTGACCTGCTGGTCATCCAATTTCTCCAAACTGAGGTCGGGTAGGATGTCGGTTATCTTGAGCGTCTCCATGACGCCAGAGCCCGCCGCCTCAAGCTCCAATTGAGTCTCCTCTTCCAACACCGATAGGGATCGTTTCACTAGCTCGTGCATCTCAATGTGATGTACACCTAACGACGCCTTGATGCGCTTTAAGGACTCCGTTTTTCCGGCGTAACTTTTTCCCATGACCGCTCCCATTAAAGTAAAATGTGGTCTAGATGGCGCATCGATGCCCAGTTTTGGCGGATAAACGAGGCGCAGCAAGCGATGTACCACGAATCCAGTAACAACGGAAGAGTCGACTTTCAGCGACAGGTCGTCCCGTGCCTGGGCGCTTTTTCTTTTGCCCGAGTCGATGACCCATTCGCCGGACACGGTCATGTACTGCACTAGATCCTGGTCCTGTAGGAGAGCCTGCTGGTGATCGGTTGGCACGCTGGTGGCACTGAGCTCCTCCGGATCGCCACATCCAGACAGGGATTCTCCCACAAGGAACAGCTGTTTCCAGTCATTCAGCATTGACGTCGGCACCTCCCTGCAACAGCAGATACTGACCGTTGGCAACAACGCTATTCACGCAGCCATCACAGACCACGAACAGTTTCGGGACGAAAGCCCTCCCCAAGATCAGATTGCCACATACATGCAGACTTACATCACATTCGGGCAATCGAATCGGGAAGCCCG